ACTATTTTTTAATACGTGGGTCGTTATAACTGACGTTCTCAACTACTTTCTATATTACTTTCTCCCGCCCGCAACATTTATGTTTTGTCCCGCTCCCACCCGCAAAAAGACTTTTTTTTTCTGTACCTCCAAATACTTTCAAGTTAGCCTACGTGTCGCCACCATACACATCAGCATACATGCTCCTGATCACTGTTATAACATAAAAGCAAGCGGGCTACTGCGTGCATGGTCTGGCATGACTGCGCGCAAAGTGCGCTCCCATAATAATTCCTAAAAAGCTGACATCAGTTCATCGCGATCTCCCACATCTGTTATTATCAATGAATCTTTCATAATATATACACTATGTTTGTTATAATTAGAGGATTTGCCAGCATACAGAATTCAGCACTGAACAAAAAGTCCGTTTTGAGTGGTGAGGGGCGTCCATCGTAAATGCTTCTGATTGGCCATTATTGCGTTTAAGAAATCAACACATGTCTGTGATTGGCTACATCGCTCAACGCTGCAAACATGTTAGAAATAGAAACTCTGCCTGTAAACCGTTTCTATTTTGTTTTAGTTGTTCTGATTGCTTTTCTGCAACAGATGAATAAAAATGTATTAGTTTTTATGTTTTATTCATAGATATTTCTAGTTTGCGGGAGTCCCGCGAATCGTTTTATTCTCCCTCAACTGGCACACACAGAGTGAGTGCATTACCGCCCGCGCTCCCTGTTATGACGTCATCACCCAGTTACGGTAAAAAACATGCTACCTTTGAAAAAACCCCAATAAATGTTATTTTAACGCATTTTAAGACAGAAATTTTTACATATATACACATTGACCACTTTAATTTACACATTAATTGGTTGTGGTGGTTAACCTGCAATTTACACTTTAAGTTTATCAAGCGCAAAAAACAAACAAAAATAACGACTTTATTCAACTATTCATTTCCTTCCCTGTGGGCCTCGAGTGAGTTCACGTAGTGATATTGCGCAAAGCTTCTGTGTTGCACGTTACACGCAGGCTCACTATTGGCCGACGCTGGTCATGTGTGTGATGCGTGTGATGTACAACCTAGAAGCTTTGCGTAGACACTACGTAGCCTATGGAGGAGTGATCCAGCTCTCAGATTTAATCAAAAATATCTTAATTTGTGTTCCGAAGATGAACGAAAGTCTTACGGGGTTGGAACAACATGAGGGTGAGTAATTACTGACAGAATTTTCATTTTTGGGTGAACTAACCCTTTAATGCCAATTAGCTTCATTGTCAATCTAGCAAACTGTCTCTGTTGTTTGTGGTTCTCAATAGGGTGACACTGTAGAGAAGGGAAGGTTGTTTCTTCAGTATTGCAGGTTAATTTGTAGATACTTCATTGTAGAATGCATTTAAGCAAATAATATATCTGGTTGCCGTGACAATAACCTTACAATTTTTTTCCTGTCTCTACAGTGTCCCTAAGCAGCTTTGACAACATGAAAAACAAAATGAAACCGTTTCAACTACAAGCTGAAAGAAGCTCCATTTCTTTGCACAACACTTGAAAATGCAAGTGAGACGTTTTACTTCCACTGTTAAAGTTCAATTTCCATCACTGATATTAGATGTGGAATAACATTTTTGGAGTGATAGTTTCATGCTGACAATTAATTTATGAAATGCTTCCAGTGAAAATGACAGACTTGGTGATGTATGCTGCACTTCTACAACCATTTAAAGGTGACCTATAATTCAAAATTGAATTTACCTTGGTATAGTCAAATAACAAGAGTTCAGTGCATGGACATGACATAGAGTGAATCTCAAACTGGACTGTTTTCGCGTTCTCATTTAATTCACGTTTATGAAAAACACCCCTGAAAAACGGTCGGTTCTCCACACAATACCGACTGTGACGCAATAGTCGGGATCATTAATATGTACGCCTCCAAATATTTGCATAATGCCAGCCCTCAATGCCAGGCAGAACTGCGCAGCCGAAGCATGGCAGTTGCTCAGTGTGGATGTACACATGAACACAAAAGTATTTTTTAGTTCCTTCATCTGAGCCTCTGAAGAAACAATGGGTTAATTTTATTTTCTCTGGAAATTTCCCAACATTTCACCGACTGTTTCCTCAACTTGGGCCAATACAGAGCTGGCCTCGGATCGAGCTACCAAGCAACACTTTCTGATGTGTAATTGTTCAAGTTCAGACAGGTAATCTTTCTCTCAAAATCGTTCAATACTGTTTATGCATCAGTAAGTCAAGCCAGTGACTAAAATATCAGCTTCACATCGTTTCTTTTAGTAGGATGAAAATAATCGTATTTAAATTGTGAACAAATTATATACCGAAAGCGATCAAAGAACAATCTTTCCACACAGCGCGAGTTTATCTGGACACTTGCCAAACTCGTTATGAAATCAATGATGCACGTTACTGCACAACGAAGCTCTTACTGTATTTACATCATCGTGTTTGCATTGGTGAAAGCAGAGAGAGTGCAGAAACTGCTTTGCAATGATAAGATCTTCATTCTCGCGATCAACACACTGTCATCTGCTCAATGCTCATCACGGCAACATTTTATGTGATGGGAATAGATCTAAATACTTTAAAAACATCTCACGATTCGTTAATCTCGATAGCTGTTATAGTAAAAACGTATAATAGCAGTAGTAAAAGTATTCGGGAGAGAGTTTCACATGTAATGCGTTGCTATTTCATATGCAAGCATGTCAGCCAATCACAGCAGTGGCCGCGGTTACACTGAATCCCACAGCAGACACGCCCCTTCAAACAGAGTGTTCAAATCAGAGGCTAAAATCAGGCTAGGAAAAATGCCATTTATTTCTAAATTATGATTATTTTTTATCTACAAAACATACTAACATTATAAGGGTAACCCAGGAAACATTATATAAAAAAAAAAAAAAAAAAAAATCTAGGGCACCTTTAAGGCCTGTTAAAAATGGCAGACAGACTGAATGAAAATGTAGTTGTATTCTCTGACAGTTGATGGTGCTTAAAGAAAAACAGAAATACCTTGGGGCCTCATGTTTAAATTTGAGTAGATTTCATCCTTAAAGTGTGCATATGCACAAAATGTAGAAAAACATGGACAAAAACCTGGGCAAAATTCCCTTTTGAAATCCTATCAGCGGTAGATTGTGTATACATGCATCCCCACCGTCTTTTCGCCAAAATAACATAGCTTACATCGCCTTGTTTTTTCTATGCATATCCTCATCTGCATATCATTTCCATATGCATATATTTCCATCCATATGATAGCTTACTGCTGTGTTTAAAGGTATGAGATAGGCTGACTGTAAATGCTATTTGTGCAGTTATATTACATTGCTAAAAATCATTGTGTATCCATGTCTTGTTTAAAATAAAAATATTAAATATCTGTATCCTCGCCCACGGACAGTCAGATCGACAGAGGGTTATAAACAAAACAATTATTTGTCAAAATACTTGGTCTAAACAGCATTATGGTAAAAATTGAACACTATAGAAACAGTAAACCTGTACGCAACAGCGCTTTGCTTCAGGAGGTTGGGCGGAACTGACAGAATGGTTGTTTCTTACTCCTGCGTTTAGCCTAAAACACTGTATTCATATTCATCCCGTTTTAAATTAGACTAAAAACACAGAAGTGTTTCAGATTTTCCATTGCGTTGTTCTCTCCATATTTATGATTCTATGGAGCCTTTAGCCACTGCCTACAATGCGCTGGATCCTTACTGGAATCCCAAAATGTTCTAACTCCTACTCTTTGAATTCTTGCACATCATTACAATCATCATCGAGGAAACTAAATAAAAGTAGAGGGAGGGACCAGGAGCGGAGCTTGTCCTTTTGGTATGTTGTCCTATTTGGTAAACTTTGCTGCAGAGTGGAAATAGATTGAAAGTGACTGGATGTGGAATAATGTTATTCCTATCATTGTTTCAGGCTAGGTAGCCTCCTCCCACAAAAACATCAGTCTTTACCCCCTGAGTGTCCTGGTTTGAGACTTTAAAATCAAGTCTTCATACTCTGACAGACTAGGCTACTCTGTATGTCCCTATCTGTCTTCCAGAAGCCTCTCCTTATGCAGTCCCTCAGGCACTCAGGGGTGTGTCTGTGAGACGGGCGTCTGTGGGGGATTTGAACTACTTTACATGTGCTGCTCTTTCTCTTCAACTACTGCAGGATTTAATACCATAGCAATTCTTTCTTTCTTTCTTTCTTTCTTTCTTTCTTTCTTTCTTTCTTTCTTTCTTTCTTTCTTTCTTTCTTTCTTTCTTTCTTTCTTTCTTTCTTTCTTTCTTTCTTTCTTTCTTTCTTTCTTTCTTTCTTTCTTTCTTCCCTTTGCTATTTTCTTCCCTTGGTCTGTTCTCCTTACTTTTTTCTTTTCTTTCCCTTTCCTCACTTTCTCCCCTCTTTTCTTCCCCTTGCTCCTTCCTTCTCTCTTTCCTTCCCACAGCCCTTCCCTCCTTCCTTTCCCCTTTCTTTCCTTCCTTCCTTCCTTCCTTCCTTCCTTCCTTCCTTCCTTCCTTCCTTCCTTCCTTCCTTCCTTCCTTCCTAAATTCTACCTCCTTGCTCTTCCATGTTTGGTCACAAACAAGCTCAAGTATAGTCATTGAGCAGTTCATATTTGTCAATCTGGACATATGCAGTCAACAAAGAAGGAAGGCCAGGAAGGGAAAAGCGTGGCTGCTCAAGAAATGTATAACTAGCATCATTCACCCCCCTCTGAGACACACACACACCAGAAAACACACATGCAGACACACACACTGCAGCCTCTAAGAAAAGCAGCCGCATCAGTTTTCAGAGCAGGGATCTCTCCTTTCCCCCCTCCCTTCTCTATCTCACTCTCTCACAGTCTCATGCTCACCCACTCATTCTCCCACCTTTTCTGCTTTCTCTCTGCTGCACATTCTATCGCTTGCTCTCCCTCTCTCTCTCTCTCTCTCTCTCTCTCTCTCTCTCTCTCTCTCTCTCTCTCTCTCTCTCTCTCTTGTTTCCGCTCTCTCTCTCCCTCTGCTTGCTTCTCTCACACTCTGTGTGCCTGTGTATCTGCCAAGGTCTGAGTCTTTCACTGTGGGAATGTAGCAAGCTCAGAGACAGGACTGCCTTTGAATTCTGGTGCAATGACGGATGCAGGGCAAAGGCTCGGATGTGCACTGACAGAACAGGAGATCTAAGGGCAGGGATTGGGAAAAGGATCTGATGGATTTAACCCTAGCAGCCGTCTCTGCCTGATCATAGTACTCCATTCTCCCGCGCTGCGCTGTTCTCTCCTCTGGGGTGGATTACCGGCTGCCTGTGTCCACTGATGCACCGCTGTAGAGACTAGAGAGAAGACACAAGCTGCGTAGCCAGAGACGAAGTGCCGTGTCGGGGGAGAGAGAGACACAGAGCTGTCCCTTGAGTGGAGCTGTGCTTCTGCCGCTACCTGACTTCTCCACACACACAGACACTCACACACACATACAGAGGCAGGGCTGCGCCAGGCGCGACGACCGATGCGTTAATGCAGCTGTGAGAAAAGATCTGCAGCAGGGAGCTGCCCTCGCTCAAACACTCACGGATTTACAAGGAAAATTTGACTACGGGCAGAACACCGACGGATTCGCAAAACTTAATTTTGTTCTATTTTTTCGTCGCTATATATGGAGCATCTTGGGAATTACCTTCGGTTCTACGGGAAGCTGAACTAAACAGAGGCTTGTTCCCAAAACCCACTCTTCTCCCAAACCCAGTCCTGTTCGGTTCCTTATTGAGTGTGTGTATGTGTGCGTGTGTACGTGACTATTGGTGTCTTTGCGTTTTAAGGTTTGTTTACTGTGTTGTATAGAATTTATATATTTATCTGTTCATGTATATGTATATAGGCTGATGTTTGCTGTTCCATTCATGTGAGTAGTCAGTATTGCATGTATCTGTAGCTGTGGAAGAGTGTTAAATGAATATTAATGAGATGCCCAGTTTTGGCTCCCTCCCTAGCCCCCTCCGCTGCTTGCACTACTTCCTGGCTGGGCCCTGAACCCCAGAAGCATGAGTGAGAGAACAGCACTAGGGGCCACCATGGAGACCATGACCCTGGAAGAGCCCGGGGGTGAACAAGCCTCTCCCCGGGCCCCAGGGCCCCTCCGCTGTGGCCCCTGTGCCGTGTGGCCCCGCCAGCAGACCTGGCTTTGTGTTGTGCCCCTGCTGATGGGCTTTGTGGGCCTGGGCCTTAGCCTGATGCTTCTAAAATGGATTGTGGTAGGCTCAGTGCAGGATTATGTCCCGACTGACCTGGTGGACGCAAATCGTATCGGACAGGACCCCATTTTCCTATCTAAACCCAGTGCCCTGCCGAAGGGCTCTGATGGCTCCACGTCTACCACTTCAACTACACCCTCAGTGGCTCCGGGTTCAGCGACCCGAGCAGCTGAGGGTACAGGTACAGTTCAAAGGACTCGAATTGGGCAGTCCTCAAACCACACGGCCAGTAGCAGTAGCAGCAGTGGAGGTGGGGCGTTAGGGGGAGGGTCAGGAAACAGAGCTCCACACCTGCATAACCGAGTAGGAACACGAGTGACCAACACCACCACCGCCACCCGGGCCACCAATCCTGTCCAACCGGGAGCAAAGGATGTCACCCCGCGCAGCACCACGATCCGAAAACCCAACGGGGAGGATGGGAGCAAAAACGCATCGCCTTCTTCAAGGGCTGGGCCACCGAGTACAACCACCACGAGCACGACAACCACTACGATTACGACGAGCACAATCTCCACCCAAGCGGCCCAACCAACCTCCACCCTTGCGGCCCCCTCCAAGCCCGGTCAACGCTGGAACCATGGACGCTCCTCCAAGGGCCCTTCTACCAAGCCTACTCGCCCACACCATCGCTTTAGGACGCGTAAGTGCAATCTTCTAAACATTTAGATTGTGTGCATGCATGGATGTGTAGATATGCTAGTGTGCGTGAGCTTGCCCCACTGTCTGTGATAACATGATTTTATGAAACACCTTTTTTTCAGGTCTCATTATTTTGCTTTCCTCTAATAAAATCCCTTCCCAACTTCATGTGCATCAATATACATATTCCAGCTCTCTTCTCGGCATTACAAAAGAGGCAGTCAAGCAGTCTAATAGTGTTTGTGCTTGCTGCTGAGTTCATTAGTTCTGCATGTTAATGAGAGAGCCCTGTTTTTCATCTGTCTTTATCCTCTCTATATCAGGTGGACTAAGGTCTGCCCACTTGCTCTGTTTGTTTCATATCAAGAATAATGACTCTGTGTTGGAGCTTACAATTTTTTTTACCAATAGCATAAGCATGTTCACCCATTTAAAGCAGGTCTATTGTTAGAGAGAGATTTGCCTGATCTAAAGCAGATGCTCAAGGTGAGACGAGGAGAGACAGATAGAAGGCAAAAAGGAAGTGTAGAGCTGGAGAGGGTGCTGGCTGCTCTCGTCCTGTCAGTGGAGATCAGGTCTTAGGGTGGAGATTCCATTTAGATAAGTAAAGATATGAGTACTGCAGTAGGTTTGGTAGGTAGACTTGAGGCACTGGATACACACTAAGACACTCACGCATTGAGAGTGCACGCATGCACACACACACACTAGAGAGAACTGAAGAAGAGAGATATGAGACCGCTGCACATGGGAAATAGTATTTACATTGTAATCTGTGTCTGTATGACTCCATGTATGTCCTTTTACATCTGTATGATAATACTGTCAGTAACAGGGTTAGGGTTGCTGTTTTGAAATTATAGCTGTTAGGCTATACGCTACTCCTTATTCATTCAATCTCTAGTAGGGGTGGAACGGTACACAGAAGTCACGGTTCGGTTCATACCTTGTATGGTATTCCGCCATACAATATAGTCATCAATTTTGAACGCTTAGAAAAACACAACGTTTTATTTTGTGTCACCAGCCTAGGTCGAGTTACACTACTCGAGTAACTGTGTTTAAATAGGGAAAACGAGGAAGTGTTTGGTCGCTTCTCTTTTTAGCCCATATTTAATGCACTGGGCTAAGCTAAGTGCTAACATAGTTTTGCGGCAATACAGAGCGATATAGTGCACGCACTGAGACGAGAGAGGTATGTATCAACTCGTCTTAGTTAAGGGAATAACATAGTTTAATATGAAAAACCGGTGGAGTATCCCTTTAAATATTCTGCAATAAATGGAAATCTAAAATGCAGTGTAGGGATTCAAACTATTGAGTTTTTTTTTTCTTCAGTCTGTTCATTCACATGAACACTGAACAAATTATTTTACTAAAATTAACCTGACTGTGGAACGCTACATATGAGAGATGCATATCAGGCGGGAGCATGTTTGATTGTTTTGTTTAGTCACACTACACGGTACTCATTAGTAAAAAATAGCTTGTTACTGGAAAAGCTACGCTAATTTGAAAGAAGCCGATATGAGTTTGACTTAGTTATTCTCAAACACTGCTCAATTCATTCATGAATACTGAAAGAATGTGCTATCCACATAAAATACAGGCTTGTGTTAAATGACTGAAAAATATTCTGTTTTATTAGGGAATGGGGGATTAGCATTAGTCTGCATGCTAATTTGATGTACTTCTGTAATTAAATCTGTGATGTTGTTTATTTATAAAGCAAGGTGTTAAAAACAGGCCATCAATTTTTTTTATGTCAGCACCAATTAGCCAGCCTGGAGTTTGAGTATCATCCAGTCTTGGGACCTTAAACAGCCCCTTACAATGAATAGACAATTACAGAGGTAACTTAAAGGACATTTCACATTACTGCTCCCGCTTCTGCCTCCATAATCATATCTTGGAGATCGTGGAGAGTTTTATAGCATTTTCAAATCTAAGCAGTGACCCTTGTTTATGTATGTTATAAGGAAAACAAATCAAGATCTGCATCTATATGCCCCTGGGTGACATTTTCATATGCAGTGTATACGTACAGGGCCTAAAATATATATTTTTTGCCAGCCACATGGGAAAAATATTTTTTACCAGCCATGACAAAAAATAAACAAACAGGCAGTTATGACACCAACATTTTAGATACCAGTGAAAATTCACATTCCTCTATTCAGATGTTAAACTTCCATATATATGTATATGTATGTATATATTTTTTTTTCTATAGTTATTTGTACTGGAACTAAATCCGACACCCTAGTCAACAGTGAGAACATGTCAAACTGCTTGTATAAAGAGAAGCTTATGTATAATTTAATACCAGACATTCTCTCTTTCACAGTGCAGTGAATTTTCTCTTGAGCTGAAAGTGCCCTGGGGCGAATACAGATAAGGAAGGGGTGAGGGGCAAAAGAGGGCCCTGACTAGTCTGGGGCCAGAGAAGGACAAGAATCATGCTTTCGGCCATGGTTCTTACAGACCACATGGCTGTCTTTTTCTTTTATTAATACGTTTACATTGTCTGTGCCAGGGTCATTGCTAAAATTCACAGGACCTGTGAGAAAGTTTTTATGGTTTTGGGTATACCCATAAAGCAGTGTTTCTCAAATGGTGGGTCCTGACCCAAAAATGCTAATATAAAAATTTCAACTACAACAACTAAATGTATATTAGTTTGGGTATAGGAAAAATGATCTTATGCTCACCAAGGCTGCATTTATTTGATAAAAAATTTGAATATGAATAAACTTGACTGTAACTTATTCCCTTGATGACAGATGAATTATCAGCTTCCATTACTCAGGGATGCAATTTAAAAAAAAAATTTTTTGGTATGTAATGATGACTAAATACTCCAAGGCACTAATGTGGTGAGGTGAAAAGCTTTTTATTAAATGGGCTAAATCATTAAAAGCAACAGTGGACAGAAAGCCTGGGTCTATATGACATATTGAATTGTGTACATCGTTCTGAAAGCATGTGCAATTTCTTTATATTGTGAAATATGAGATGGTTGGAGAACAGATTTGGGTCTTGGAATACATCTGCATCAAGTAAGGGAGGTGTTATTGTTGGGCCAAGCTGTTTTATGAATAGAATTGGCAACTAGAAAAAGAGTAGTGGACTGTAAGTTGGATTTTGAATGTGCAATATTGTGTCGGGTAATGCATCACTGTATAATATAATACAAGCCTGTTCCGCCCTTGCTTGGACTTTCTCTCTGATTATCGTCTGAGAACGAACATGATGAAATGCACTGGTAGCGGCCATGTGCGAACGCATTCATCTTTACGACTGCAAAATGATCTCGTGTTTTGGTGGGACTTGTATGGTAATGCACCGGGAGAGAGAGTATGTTGTATATTCCATAGGAGCCCAATTGAATAAGCGATACACTAACATCGTTTTAAAAATCGGCCCAATGAGAGTGCATCTCTCATTCATATCTGTATCATTATTCCATTGTTCTGAAGGATGGCATGCAGCCGTCCATTAGCTGCAGCACTGAAACCTGAGCCGCTCATCTTCTTCCCTGCCTTCCGACTCCATTTCTTTCACCCTGATGCACATAGTTCTCCGCCTTTACATTTCCAACTCTAATATTATCTTTTATACTCTCCCCCTCCTTTTCCTCCTTATTTCCTTTTCCCTCTCCCTCCTTGTCTTCATGCCTGAGTTTCCTGTATGTGTTATGTTTGTCTCTGTGTCCTATCTATGTTTGGGGCTGATTTGGCTCAGGGGCCAAGCCTCATTACTTCCTGTGTAAGGAGGCAGTGGGCGGCTGGCACTCTAAATGCAGCTGGCTATCTGCCTTTGGGGGGCGGGGATGCTTCTTCACTGACACATCATTGTGATTCCACGCACACCTTCCACGGCACAGTCAGAAGCCGGCGTGGTTGAGCGGATTTTGTCAGGTATGAAAGTGCAGCGGCATCAGAGAGAGACACTGAGAACATGTCAGGCTAAAGCCTGGGGAAAAACATAGCCAGTAAATCACAATCTTGCTGCTAAAATAGAGGGCTCGAGAAAGAAAAAATCTCTGACGCGGTGATTAATATTTTTGACGTGCTAACACATAGCATGCACTCAAGTACGGCGTACACCGCAACCCCTGCGGCTCCTGAGGGGAAGGTGTACCATAAAATCATACACTGGGATTAAAGACAGAAATCCATTTAGCGCCGCCTCATGGGAGGTCAGCGAGGCTTTTGCCCTGGCCAAGAGGAGCGTAGTTCCAGCTGCTGCTACCACACTGCTCTCCCCAGATACCAGCAACAGGATAGCCACGTGATGTCCGACCACCAATCACAACCTTAGAGGCTCAGAGAGTGAGAGACGAACCTTGAGGGAGAACTTCTCACTCCACCTGATGTTTCCCAGGCCTTTCTAAAATGAAGTACCATACTCAGTCGCTGTTATCTTGCAGATTAGCTGACTTTTATCTTCGAGAAGTGACGTGACATTTTCACCGGACTTCCAAGTTGTCCTCATGGTCTTTGTGTAACTGTGCACTTACAGACAGTCCTCTACGGAGCGGCCTTGTTTGTTAGTGACATTTTAGTGCGCCGTGAGAGCCGGGCTCTCTCCCCTGTCTGGAGAGAGGGTGAGATTAATGCGCCCCTATGTGTACTTGTGGTAAGTGGCAGTGAAGGCCATCTTAGGCTTCTATAATGTCACTGTGTGATTTATGTGGACAAAATGTCCGCTAGGAAGCCAAGAGTTTGTCCTGGATTAGGCTGACATATTAATGCACAGAAAGAGAAACATGTAGAACGCATGTGGTAGGAAATGTAAATAATTAATGGCATCTTTTAAGTGCTGGGGATGGCCGTAGTCATGTACTGTATGCATGTTTTTTTTTCTCACAGCAACGTAGTCTTTCAACACCAAACTGATATGATAGAGCGTTTTAGGGACAAACACCTGATGCCACAACCTGCTTGTACCCGTTTACTGTGATGTTGAGGCAGCCGGAACTACTCTGAAATTACTCAA